TCCGCGACGCTGCCAAAGCTATACAATTGCCCCAATCGGGTAAGCGCCAAAGCGTCAAAAACCTCATAAGCCAGCTACAAAGCGTCAAAAGTGTGGTGGTGTTGCTCCAGCTGTGGTGGGAGCCGCAAGGGTTGCACGAGCTGCTCCACCGCGTAGTCGACGGCAACGACCGATAACGCCCTCCAAAAAAATTTCTGAATAAGCCAAAACCTTCGTAGGCCTGTATATAGTATAATCCTAGCTTTGCGCAATTTTATTACGATTTGTGGTGGCTCTACAGCCTCATCTTGTTGACTATATTGAGTTGTTGGGGGTGCTCAACTGGCGATGGTGCTCATCTGGTGCACGGGCACTGTAGGCAACTGTGAGTGGGTTACTGTGATCTAAGGCGTGGGCGCGTTAGGTCGCTAGATACCACTGTTTGTTGTCTTTGCGGGCAAGGTGCTTATCAACGTCTAGTTTAAGAATTTGCCTGCTAACTAGATTCTTAAAGTTAGTCCCAATAGCTAGACGAATAATTAGCTTAGTCTTGCCTAGTTAGAGCACTTTAATACCTATACAAAGAGCTCTACTGTAGGTGGGTATCGACTACTTATTATTGACGGCCATAAGAGCCACTGCTCCATCGATTTTCAAGATCTTTGCAAGGAGAAGAATATTATTCTTCTCTGCATGCCTCCACACTCGTCTCACCTATTGCAGCCCCTTGACGTCGCCTGCTTCTCGCCATTAAAGCGCAAGTATGGCGACGCTGTTTCAGGCTTGGCACGCAACCGCACCTACTATATTAGCAAAGAGACCTTCCTACTAGCCTTTAAGGCTGCTTTTAAGCAGTCTATTACAAAGGAGAATATCCAAGCTGGCTTTAGAGGCGCTGGTCTAGTCCCACATGACCCACAGGCTGTGCTATCTAAGCTTGATGTAGTGGTGCAGACGCCAGTACAATCACCACGACGGACAGCCGCCTGGCAGGCGCAGACACCACGCAACGCGCGCGAGGTTAAGGCTTAAAGTACTCTTATTCAACAAAGAGTAAGAAACCGCCCTAGGTCTTCTGCAAATTCTCTTGATAAGAAGGTTGTATAGCTAAGTAAAGGGGCTCAGCAAATAGCACATGAGATAACGCTTATGAGGGAGGAAGTGGCTGCTCTTCAAGAGGCTCTAGACACAGCAAATAAGCGTAAGAACCACAAGCGGCGATACGTACGGACAGAAGAGACTCTTACTATAGGCGAAGTACAAGAAGTATTAGCTGAACAGGCGGGTAGCAGTCGTGGTGATGGTGAGAGTGCGTCGAAGAGGGTGCGAGGAGAGCGGCGGTGCGGGCGTTGCAAGCAGACTGGACACAACGCTCGTACCTGCGCAGTTGAGATAGATAGTGCAAGTGATAGTAGCAATTCTAACAATTAATCTAGTATATTGCAATAGTTTATTGACTGTAATAAAAGACTATAATAACGTGTTAACGTCAACGCGCTGGTGGGGAGTGACCGACTCGCTTGGGTGACCGACTCGCTTATGAACCACGTTATATAACTTAAAATTTAATTACTTAAAATGCAAAAGTTTGAAGTTTATAAACTTAATAGTTATACTACTCTCTACTTAACGTAGCGCTAATAGCTATATTTATAAGATATATTCTTTATAAGAGTAGCTACTTGTCCCTTTTTACAACTTCATTAGTATACGTATTCATCTAAAACTTTACTTATTTTATAGCTTTTTAAAAAAACTTTTCTTAAAACCTTTTATTAAACATAACTACTTTTTTTACTTTTTCTCTTATCTGCATCAAGATAGCTACTTAGTAGTATTTATACTTAATTATAGCTAAACCTTTGAATAGTAGATACCTTTATGCCTAAATACAAAGCTTAGTTACTTTTTTAGTATCAAAAAATCCTGTATGCTTATTATCATTATATTTTGTATTAGCTAGCTAGAATGGCTGTTTATAAAAAGACTTCTTAGCATTTTTGAGTCAGCTATAAATATTGTTAGCTACTATTTCTCAAATACACTTTTAGCTAAATATATAAATATAAGTAAAAGTGAGTATTATTACAAAAGTCTACTACTGTAAAGTAAATAACAGGCTAGACTATAGCTACTTATCACAATAAATAGTATAATTGCTAGAGTAAGTAGTATTTATCTTATAAACCATTTAGTTAGTTAGTTAGTTACTTAATTAATATTATATAAAGTCTAAAAGAGTATAAGAAAGTAGAAAAAGAATACTATAAGCATTAAGTTAATATACTAACTAATAGCGTGATAGTAGTAATATATTTAGAACTAAAATTAGAATAACTATAGTAAATAAATGATACTTAGGTTATAGAGCTTTACTGTAGTAGTTATTACGTAACTACTATATAGCTCTAATACGCTATTACTGATTTAAAGTTACTTAAGGTAAAAGCTAACTATTACGTAATTAGTAGTATCTTAGATGCGCTTACATTACTAATAAGTAGTTGCTTATTAGAAATTCTAAAGAAGATAGACTTAGTAGAAAGAAGAGAAGATACAACGTGCTTTACTGATGTAAATAAATAAATGGATATAACTAGTAAAATAATTACGCTTTTAGTTGATACAATATAGGTAGGGTTATACTACTACTCTAATAGGCTGCTAATTATTAGAGTAGTGCATATAAAGCTTGAATAAATAAAAAACCTAATAGTAATAATGAGAAGAAGTAGTAGTTAAGTAGTTATTGTATAACCTATTAAGAGGTAACGTATCCGTATAGCGAGTCGGTCAGTAGACCGAAGCGGTCACTCTGCCAAGACCCCACTAACTTTGACTACCATACGTGATGCCTCCACGCAATAACGTGCAAAACTCCTTAAAAGAATCTTAATTATAGCTTACAATATAAGCTTTCTAACGTAACGCGACACTTAGCTAGCGACGCGCTGCAGCAATCTATAGCGTCTCCTAAAGCACCCTTAGTAATTAACTTGCTAGAAAGCTCTCTTAAAAAGATTGTACGCCTAACTTAATAAAACTTCTTATAATAGAAGAGGAGACAGTTGTCGACTATATACTAGACTGTGACGCGCGAGGATATCCACTACGCCTTCCTGCTGTTAAAGATCTAGCTAATTCTTTGCTAGCTGCCCACTACTGCAACCCTATTAGCCTAAACTAGCCTAAAGCATTCATAAAGCGTCGCCTAGAGCTTAAAATAAAGTTTAATTAAAAGTACGACTATGGGAGAGCCCTCTATGAGAATCCTAAGCTTATGCAGGGCTAGTTCTATCTAGTATAGAATACTAGAGCCAAGTATGGGCTCTAGGACGACGATACATATAATATTAATAAGACGGGCTTTATAATAGGTATACACAACGCGTTAGTAGTAGTTACAGCCTCTAAGCGTTAATTAAAGCTAAAATCCTTATAGTAGGGCAACTAGGAGTGGGTTACTAGCGTAGTTTGTGTTAGCGCAGCTAGCTAGGCGATCCTACTCTTTATTATCTTTTAAGGCAAGCACCACCTCTCTACTTAGTATAAAGAGGATAGCCTGCCTAGAGACTAGCTTATTAGGGTCTCTAAGAACGGCTAGACAATAAATAAGCTTAGTATAAAGTAGCTAGAGCACTTTGATAGACATACAAAAGAGCGCACTATTAGAGCCTATTGTCTGCTTATTCTTAATAGTCATAAGAGCCACAACTGTAAGGGGCTCGACCCCGGAGGGTAGTCTTAAGCTCGGGAGCACGATCGGACAGGCCAAGGTAACAAGATTGTATTCGATAGAGAGCTAAGCTCTCGGCTACGTAGCTATCTATATACAATGCTGGTTGCTAGGGTAACAATTGGGCCGGGCAGGTGGAGTA